AGAAGATTTATAATTAGTGAGCTTTAGAGGGGTGCATTGTTGTACATTTTATCATTAGACAGATGCCAGAGCAGGACTTCTTTTTTAAGTTTGAGAAAGAAAGCAAAGAAGCATCTCTCCCAAAACTGCTCCATTAAGCAGACCAGCGAGCAGCCGGGCTACACCAGCGCCTGATGTGTCTATACTCTGGCATTAACTGGAAGTAACTGGTTGCATAACTGGTGGAACATTGTTTAGTCTAAATCCATAAATCTTCACCCAACACAATGTTTGTTTGATGTTTTCTTCATTGTTGAACTTCAGAACAGCAAGAAAACACCTCAGATTATAAAGACTGATAAAGTATTTTATCTTATTGCGGATGTATCAGTACATATATTGGTCGAAAAGTCATAAGAAATTGCAGTTAAGACTTTCCAAAGAGGTTTGTTTTGTCCATCAGAGAGCTTGAACAATGCTGTTTTGTACATATGGCAGTCCAAAATCTTTAGCAACTACATTTCAAGGATCTTTATCAAAAATGATTGTTGATTTTACATATTTAAGTAAGAACATATACATAGACCAGCCCACCTATGTGGGTAGTTCTGGGATTTTGCTTGGATGCACACAGGTGTTTCTGAAAGCTGGAGTGACACTGGAGGTGTTATGGTACAAGAGAAAGTTTGAGACCCTTTCTGCGCCTCTCTCCTAACTGAATGAGGGAAGTAATTCTTAGTGCAGGAGGCCTTACCTCGCACAGTGAGGTGCACGTAGTAGTAATAGAGTACAGGCTCCCGTTCTACGTCATACAAGGCCTGGCAGGTGAACAAGCCGTGTGCAGCCACATTCAGTTTCTCAATGCTCACAGACGCACTGTTTGAAATGACCGACAGCTGTCCGAGTGTCTCCGACAGCCTCGTGACCTTCGGCCCTTTTCCCAAATTAAAGGCCACCGCTTTTATTGCTTCAGTGCCGGGCTTGGTGAAGCTCCATATGTACAGATCAGGTAAGGTGGAACCGCACTCCAGGATCACCGCTCTGCCCACCACCCCATACACTCTGTTGTCCCGGTACACCACCTCCCCTTTGTGGTTGATCTTCACGGCTGGAGGAGGGAGAGGATACACAGAGAGACATGCATGCAAATGTGTGTGTGTAAAGGAAAAAGAGATGGTGGTGTCATGTGCCCTGTCAGTGTTCAGTTGCAGGATTGATTACACTGTAAGTTTCACAGGCAGGGTAACATTTTAATAAAGAGTTCCAAAACAGATACCCAGTCAGTTTTGCTTCTGCAGCATCCAGTTTATCAACCACCTTGTGCTTCCTTGGCTGTTCTCTGTGTCACTGAACTGTGTCCCACTGCTATCCGAACTTGGGTGAAATTAAAAACTAATTTTCTGAGTTTAAAATTATAATTTGCATTGAGTTAGGATGAACATCCATACATCCTATGCATCTATATACTAGCATCAGTGTATATGTTAGTCACAGGAAACTGCAGTACAGAAAAGCCAAAGATGTTCAGGAAAATTAAGATTAAACTACCAAAGAGCTTTCTTTTTTTGTTTGTTACGTGTTTTTTACGGTACAAATAAGTACTTTAGTATATTCACATAGCCTGAAGTATCCAGTATCTGTGATTCTCCACTTCAAAATATTACAATTTTACAACAGAAATGCAAATCATAGAAAATTTCTCTCCTGAATTTGTATTCGTTGACTGTTCACACAGTGTTAAATAGACATGGAGCCCTTACCGTTTGGCGTAAAAGTAGCCAGACTGGTAGTTAGATATAGAAAGGCCAGCCCTAGCAGTTGGGCCACCATGGTATCATGATGATCCTGAGTCCAACAACCTCTTTAGTCCAAAAAAAAAATAAAACAAAAATGATAGAAATTAAAAAGTTAAAGCTTTTGGACTCCAAAATCGACCTGTTAGCGCTCTCCCTCATGTGCCTGAAGTCGCATCTTTCTACCTTTCTGATCCACAAGTTACTGGGAGAATCCAGCTGTAGGCACTGACTTTATTGGACTGAGAGTAGGAAGGGACAGAGGGTCACTAAACTGATTTAGGCTCAATTATTCATGTGTTTTTCCTTTCTCTCTATCCCTCTATCCCTCTTTCTTTCTCCTGTGGGGTTAGAATAACACAGTGATACTCAGCTCATCTATTATAGAAGAATGGGTGGACGGATTAGTCTTCTACATATACACATGCACTTGTGCATCCACCTGCGCATCAACTGGTAACGCTAAAGTTGTATTAAATGAAGCTGACATCCAGAGTCTTAACATGAGCATTCCTCTATATAGGACTTAGACATTAATCTCCACTGAAAATAACTTCCACTGAGGTTTTGCTGTTATTAAAGCTATTTTTTGCATTCACACTGTTTTGTTTTTTTTCCCACATTTTCAACCTGTTCAAACTGCGGTATTGTGCAACAAAGTGGGAAGGCGGATGAGTGCTTAATGCAGATGTAAACAGTGATCTATCCAGCATCCTCACAGAGGAAACACTCAAAATTGAGGGATTAAAAGGGATTTATATCTTCTTGGATTTTCTTTGCCCTTTGTTTCAGTGTCAGCCTAAGGGCAAACATGCCTTATTCACTATACAAATAAAAGTTTCAAAATGATTCAGGAGGTAGCGAATCCAGCAAGACCATACATTTATGCAGCTAGAGTAAAATGTGACTATATTTTAATGTTTCTCGTCATTTTAGGCGAGTTATAAAATGAAAGGCTCCAAATTCTAATTTCAAAGGTTATGAGAGGGCCAGGGGGGTAGCGTAAACTCTACTGATGGGATTCGGATTAAAATAGATTTAGAAATCTGGCATCACAGTGATGCTCTGTTTCCTCACAACATGCTGTTACCTCACATTTTAAGATGCGAAGCAGCTCCTGGTTCTGCATGTACACGCAATCTCTTAGAGAATTATCCTTATTCAGTGTCGTTCAATTTTCTTAATGCGATTGATAAGTTTATACACGAGACAGAGGAGGAGGGACCATTTAGTTGAACCGTGAGTATGTAATGTGAGATGGTTGTCATGAATGAATGCAGGACAGAGATCAGTTTCCTTGACTTGGCAGGTTAAAATGCAGCAGATCCAGAGCTAAGGCCCACAGCGCAAGAAGGTTTCAGTTAGATATCCATATCCTAATGTAGTAAAATTAAATTAAATTAAACAAAGATGCATAAAAACAAATATGAAGAAATGTTTCTCTTCAGTGGAATCGAGTGGCAAGTCAGATTCAAGCCTTAAATTTTCTTCCTTGAAAGCCAGAGTAAATGAGTATAATGCTGGTTTCAGACTTTTAACATATTTTCTTCTGCCACAGTATCAAACATGCATTCATGTAGCACAGCACCAAGCTTCTGATAGCGGTGGCAGCTCATCGTACAATAGAAAAATTCATCTGAAAAGGGTATTACAGAGGGAGACTCGAGCATTCTGAGCTGGCCGCTGAAGCCGAAGCTGCACATTAATGATGGAAAGTCGGTGAACTCCCTATGAGAGCTGAACAAAGTGGATTTGTAGCCACTAGTTTGCTCGCAGAGCTGGGAATTCATTGTCTGGGATTTATCAGCACACAATGGCAGCTTTAGACCCAACGGGTACCATGGGACAAATACTATAAATGATACCAGCATGTATCAAAACTGTTGCAGTGTGCTGCTGTTAGTGGAGGGCAAGGATATTGAAACACAACTCAGAATAAATGTGTCTGAGCAATAGTATTCATTATAGCCGAAACTGTCATACTGACCTTTGACCATTTTGGAAAATAGTGTCAAACCTTATGAAAAACCTTTTATTATAGTGTTTTATCTGTGTAACTTCAATTAAAAGGGGTTTCTGTCTCTAACTTATCATTATTTGCTCATCATGTAAGCTGCAACCATCGTACACGTCCATGTGTTCCTGTCAACGCTGATCCTCTTTGGTCCAAAGCTGCATTTTAATAAACTGTCAAAGAGATTGTCTCGTCTTGGACAGGAATGTGCCGTCCTGCCATTTCTGGTTTCTCCTATAGTGAAGAAGGGCAGCCGTCTCTTGATCCGGTTGTTGATGAGAGCAGGACTGAACTTAGAAATAATTGGCTAAAGCTTTGAAGGTTTTAAGCCAATCAGTGGGTGCATGGTGGTGGTGTGTCAGTGTCCATGACAAATCTCTGAGCTACAGACAAAGGACAAATTAAAGGAAAAACCTAAACCCTTGACCCCTCCAGTGAAGAATTTGAGGGCTCTGATATGGGGGCATTTTACTGACATGGTTTGTGCCCATTTGTTCCCTTCGAGGAAACTGCAAATCAGTTCGACTTTGTTCTGAGTGGTCATCTTTATCCTATGATGAAACATTGGTCTCCGGATGGAATAGGGCTTATCCACGATGGCCAGATATTGAACACTTATAGTGGATTTTTAACCAATGTGGGAAGGAAACATTTGTGATAAAAGGCATTTCTACTGGAGGGATGCTCCCTTAGAGACTTGGACCAAGTCTCAGCAGACTTGGAGAACCAATGCCAAGATGTATTTAAGCTGTTGTAGTGGAAAATAGCAGCCAAATGCCTCATTAACACACTTGGCTGTAATGCATTTAAATGTATTTATTTAGCAAATGCATTTGTCCAAAGCAATGCTGGTTTAATGTGTGAATGCTAATGTTTGCTTATTAGCACTAAACACAATAGCAATATCAATAAGTTGCAGGTTTTAATTATTTTGGCTTGTTGGCTCCAAAAGAAAAGTTCTGGCATCATAAACCTGCAAAGGCCTCAATTAAATTTTCATGATTCATAGAATAAATGAAATTGTTAACTTGCAACATAAAAATTCAGTGCGGTTCATCCTCCGAGGACAGTGAATGTCTATAAGAGTTTAATAGCAATCCATCTAGTAGTTGTTAAGATATCGGTGGACTGATTAATACCTCCAGTTAGTATTTCAGTTGAAATTAAACTTCTAAATGCTATTAATATTAAAGAAAGATTAGATGAGCTTGTGGTTTTCAGTGTGATGCAAGTGTACATGGTCATTTTTATTTAAATGCTAGAAATTCATCCAACAACCAGTGTCAATGAATACTAAAACCCACAAATACCACAAATAAAAACATCAATGTCTTAAATTGACAAAATGTCACCAGTAAATAAAAATGTCTTTTTGTTTTTCTTTACAAAGAAAAATGGTAAATGATACAAAACACAAGCACAGTAGAAGTATTACATTAAACCAGGAGGTAAAACCAAAAGGTAACATTAGGTGCTCTTCAGTAAAGGGATTGTCATTGTGCACAACACAGGATAAAAGAGAGTGGGCATCAGAACCCCTTTTTTTTTTGGGTGTGAGTTTGTCTTTTTTTTTTTTTTTTTACAAAATATGGTCCATTAAGGACAAAGTAAGGAGTCCACCACATCTAAAGATAATCCCATCCATTCAGTATGATGTAATCAAATATACATACATGCAATACACATTTCTCAAATAAAAGTCACCTTTAACTTGACTTTCCTCTATAACCTATAACTTAAACTTGGTTCCCTTTTCAAAGAATAGAACACAATAAAAAGACAGGACAAAAGAGAGAAAGTGTTTCAAAAGTGGACGTCAACTCCAAGTCCAACAACGAAAAGCTGCAGAGCTCCACATTGGTGCAGACAGTCCACAGACGCTGTCTGACGGTCCGACGAGGGTTAAATATCCCATGTATTCCAACCTCCTCTTAGGAAACGTTGCGCTCGTTGGAGAGCGTATAACGAGGTGTGGCTTCAGACGTACTGCTCTTTAGGGAAAGTGTATGCTGCCACTCCTGGGGGAGGAGAAGACAGACCCTGCACAGAGGGGTATTTAAAGATGGCCGTGGTGTGCGAAGGAGGAGAGAAGGTGTTTTTGGACGTGGTGGTGCTGCTGCTGCTCGTCGTGGGGGTCGGCTGTGTGGAGTGGTAGGGGTGTTGGGGCAGGAATGACAGAGGAGGGTTGATCGGAGGGGAGTAGGGCTCTGGGTAGTCCTCCTTGTTACAGGCCAGTCTGTAGCTCACGTAGTCCGCTGTGTTTGGAAGCTCCTCGTAAAAACGTCCTGAATGCTGTGAAGAAATGACAGACAGATACTAAAGGTCCCATATTGTGTCCCTTTTCCACAAATGAATCAAGTCTAACTAAGTCTCACATGTTCCCACAGTGTGTCTTTCAGTTTTTCAGCAAAGATGGTTCATTAGACTGTATGTACATCATGGCTGTATGTTTTAGGGTTGTTCTAACCAGGCTGTTTGGCACTGAAAACCAATGAGCTGTTCTCGCCCCTTTCAGGAAGAACACGCTGTCTGCAGAGCTGTCAGTCACAGTCTAAGCTGGATGACTAGTGGTTTGTTAAATGTTACATCGCACCTGGGTTAAACTCTTAATGCCTGTAAAGCTGGGATGCTAACTAGCTATGGGGGGGGGGCGGAAGTGAACATCTTCATATCCTAACAGCTTTTATTTTACAACTCTACGGGTACAACAACCACCAAATACAATAAAAATGGATTTTCACTATATGGGACCTTTAAACATGCGTCCAAATTAGAAACGATATAAATGCTCTATAACTGGCATGCACCAGATACACTATGTGCATTACATATATTTTGCACTTAAAGGTAGTTTCTGACTTCCGAGTAGTGCAATGAAACAATGACTTTTATGAGCGGATCTCCATTTTGCTTGTACTTGTGCATGCAGGCAATCCAATAAACACTGCTCCACAGGTGGTGGTAACACACCAAGAAATGAAGCATTGCACCAACGAAGATAAGAACCCTGCTGGCCCATAAACGTGGATGAAAACAATACGGGCCTCAACAGGAAGTTTTGAATTGTTTAATGTGGGCTGTAATTCATTCACCACATTTGTTTGACCGCAGTGGTAGCAAATTAGGCCATCAGCAGTCACAATAAAATATATAATGCTTTTGCTGTTGCATGGCAGCAGAAATCAATGGACACATTTTGTGCTTTCTTCAGTAACCAGGACCCTGCTGGTGATGAATAACCAGATTAGAAACAATAAAACTAGATGAAAAGAAACTGAGCATTGTAAGAAGAACAAAAAAAGTGGATGAATATCATAAAGCCTCCATATAAACTCATATAATGTCCAAACATCACCAACAACAACAAAAAATAGGAGGACCAAGTTTAAATAGGATTAACAAAAATTGTACCACCTTTTTAGTTAGAAGAGGAATTTCTATATTTCATGGGAAATAGGTTTTACATTTAGACAGCGTATGGTTTTGCAGCATTATATAAATCTAGAAATCGGCTTTCACACGTCTCACACTGTGTCACCTTCTTCTCTTTTACTTTGTGAAGCGCTCAGCAGCAGGATCCAGGGCTGTGCACCATTTACGCCAGTGACACAGCCGCAGTCACTCTATTAATTATTTACATCCTCTGATGTGTCATTGTGCTCTAAGGTAACCTTGTTAACCTGAATGTGTTTCTAAAAGCAAGAGATGCTGTTTGCAAATTCACAATTTCCACAGTCAAATAAAGCAAACAAAGCAATTCAGACTGAATACAGCATTTTCTTTTATTTCTTTCTTTTTCTTTTAATTTGTTTTTTAGCAAGAATCCAAATAGCGTTACTCTAGAGAACCACTTCTTTTTGAATCAGGTGGTTTATTACAGGACGTTTTATGAGGAGTTTTCAGTTTTGTTGCTTGAATACAGTTATATTTGCATCACTGGTATTAGAGAAAGCATTGAGCTGAGCTGATCATTTAAGCAAGTATATTTGTATTTGGGAACAGACCTGTATGTTTAGGGTGTTGCATTACTGTCCTTCAGACCTTTATAACTTTTTCTTAATTCAAATTATTCAAATGCTGCTTTGATTAAAATACTAAAAGGCACACAACGTACATAAAGACAATTAGGTAGGTCCAGTTTGTTTTTTAATATTTATTAAGTATATTAGTTTAAGAAGGACATTTAGAAAATTCACATCTGTTGAGCACAATGTGTAATTTCTAGTTGAACTACTTTCTAAAAAGTCCATATTTCTACTGAGTGTTTTTTTTTTATCTTCATAAATCAAGATTCCTCTCCACTTAGAGCTGCATAAAAACTCTTGCCTTCATAAAGGCACAAAATGTTTTTAAAGATATGCAAATAAATATGTAAATTCCAAACACAGCACACAGGTTACCTGGATATCATCTCCTGGTCTTTTCCTTACTGGCTGCGATAGTTTTCTGGATGGAGAGTCCCTTCTGATCAAAGAGAATAAAAAAGGATGTAAACTACTTTGGGATAAACAAGCTTGTGAAGCAGAAGGATGGAGAGATCATCGACTAGTTACGTACGAGGAGCTGTCTTTCCGGCTTCTTATTTTGAGCACCAGAACTGTGATAGTGATGCCCATGAGCACTCCGGCAGCCAATAATAAGGCGATTACACTGATGACATCACTTGTTGCGATTTGTGGTAGTGGCTTTTCTAGAGAAAAAAAACACAAACACACACACAACCAATAACGATTAATAACAACTTTCATTATTTATAGCAGCTTGGAGCTCAAATATGTGTCATGTCTTCAAAAATGTGAATGTACAGTACAAGCTAAGTAAACCAGATGATTTCACAGTTGGTATTACATTTAGTTTGTAATATATGTATGTAAAGAAATGTATTATTCGTAGTAGAAAGAGCAGAAGTAGTAACATTGAATCTCAGGTGAAGTCGGGTAAACATACCTATAATGCTGACCTCCACAGAGGCTGATCGTGTCCCGATGCTGTTGGTTGCGTCACACACATAGGTTCCTTGCAGGTCGTATGTGACTGGTCCTTTAAAGGAGAGGACGTTGTCTCTGACCTCAGCATTGTTCGGGATGGAGCCATTAACACTGCATGACACAGGCAACAATACTCAAATAAAAAATGCACATCTATTGGATATATAACAACACCAATGACATCAGTGACACAGGCCTGGGAGGAAAAAACACAAATACGCCTACAGACCGCAGAAATTATGCTGAAAAGGAAGTGATTAGGAAGGGCAGATTCTTCTCCTGATTAATGAACCAATGTATCTATTGATTAACTGAGTATCCCTCCCTCATCCCTCCCACCTGTTATTAACTCCACTGAAGTGAAGCTGTGCAGTTACAGTATGGCATGCTGTATGCACAGGAACCGACATGCAGTTAGCAAGAAAAATGCATAAATATGTTTTTACACTTGATGCTGATTTACTTTTTAAATCCATATTACGCTGCTGGCACTGCAGCTAATAGAATACAGATCTGAATGTTTGTCACATAGAACATTTGGTCAATAACATTATTTCCACATATCCTTCATTACAGGACAGTATTTTAAGACCTCCGATATGCACTTTGTAAAAAAAAAATTGCCAGCACTCCTGTCTTGCAGTGCTTTTTACTGCAACAAAGATTTTTCGTAGCTCTCCATTATGACAACCAGATCCTCTTGACTGAAGTAGGTGGCACATTATCAGCCCAATTTGTGCAGAAGGAGAATCACATAAACGCCTCATTTTATGAGAGCGTGCACAGAGCCTGGTTAAGAAAACCTGGGCTAACAAAGAAAGTTGATAATCATCATTGTGATACCCATCGTCTGCCAGCTAACGGAATGAATGCCTGACTATGTCAAATTTGCTGCCTCGGGGCTATCAACCTCTCCCTTGCTGGAGCAGGTGGTTGAGAGCAGCTGCCTCCACTTGCTTGCCTTGTTCAGCACTACAAAGACTCTTGGATGAGATGCCGCCGGTTCCAGTTGCAACTTGGCAGTGTTCAGGCTGTGTGTTGTGCTCACTGCTCACTTTTGACAGGATGGTGTTTCACTTTCTCCAGATTCAGAGAAAGCTGGTTTTCTGTTGTTTTTGCTGTGGCTTCTGTTGCTTTTCTTTTGATCTAAGTTGTAAATAAATTCGTTAACTGTGCTACTTGGATGATTCTTTATCCCCAGTATAACTTTCATGGGCAGTCCCACATCAGTCATCTGTTTCGGGAGGTAACAGGTGGATGAGTAATGTGGATGAATGTGTGTTGGACGTTGAAATTATCTGGATTATTCCTGAATTATAAGTGATCCAGGTGATTTGAGGGCACTGCTTTGAAGGCATAGTTAGAATGATAATAAGGTTGCATGAATACTGAATTTGTTTACTCAACCATTCATAGGTTAAGATAATAAGTGTTTTTGAATTCTGTATTTATGATCTTTTCTTGCAATTTCCACATCCATAGAGCTTCATCAGACACATAGGAGAATAAAGTACTGCGTATACAGGAATCAGAAACAGCCTCACACACAACGCTGATGGAGCAAATGGTCTGCACACAATAAAATGATTAATGTGTGCAAATCACAAACAAACAGAGCTGTACTCACAGCCTCCACTGATACAGAGAGACGGCTGGGTTGGCATCGGCTTGGCAGCTCAGCTGGACGTTCTCTCGGTTCAGATACCAGTTCCCATCAAACCCGTCCACCGAAACATCAGGCTCATCTGATGCACAAAGAAACGCATACAAATAACAGTATTACAACACAAAGTCTTGTTGTTTCATTTTAGCTGCAATGCATTTTTGTATGAGGGAGACTTACACTGGATGTCGAGGGTGACGCTGTCAGTGTAAACCTCCTCGTTGTAGGTGGTGACGCAGGTGAGCGTCTCCTTATGAGTTTCTTTGTTGGGCACCAAAACGTAATCGCTCTGAACAGTGAACGTCCCATCGGAGTTTCTGTACTCACGGGTGGTCACTTCACCAGGCACCCTCGTTTCCCACCTGCTCACAGTAACGAGGGGATTGGAGCCAAGGCAGAGAAATACATAGATACATGTGTAAACTCTGAGTAAAAGTTTTGGTGCAGAGAAGGTGGACATAGGAGAAGAAGATATAAACTTCAAATGTAGCTGTGGCAGTGAGAGGTTGCTTGAATCTAAGAAAGGCAAACATTTATAAAAGTATGTTTAAAAAAAGGGAAGGTGAACTTAAATCACACACATACACACTCACCTGATGGTACCGGGAGGTTTTCCATTAGCAGAGGTGCAGGTAGCCACGGGGGTTTTCAGATTGGATGAACGAGCCACCAGTGTCGGCGAGGACAGACTCATCTGAGTGGTTGGGCGAACTGAGGGAATATGAGAATAAATACATAAAAATACAGTTTAATGTTTAACTTTACAATCCGTAACTTTGATCTTACAGTAAATATGAGCAGCACCCAACATCACCTTATCAATAAATCACCACCAAAGCTTTTTTTTCTGAATTCATTTAGATGATTTTGATGCCCCAGGGACAATGGTATAAAGTTTTAATGATCCAGTTAGGTAACATTACAACAACTAACAAAGAGTTTTCTATGTATGTCATAACATCTTGTACGACCTACATACTGTACCTGTAAGTACGTCATGCATGTACAACAAGAACTGCCTAATGTGGCACAAAACATTGTAAAGTTTTCTTTTTTCTTTTTTGTAACTCAACTAATTGATTGTTTGGTTGCAAAAAATGTCTGAGAATAATTTTAAAAAATAGAGTTTCCTGAATCCGTCATCAAATATCTTGTTTTGTCCGTCAAATTGTCCAACACCCAAAAGTATTCAGTTCCTGATCACATTAGAGGAAGAAGGGCAGCACATTCACAGTGATGAACAGCTTAAAGTACTTTGGTGCCTTTGATTAGAAAAATGTTAGTCCAATATCAAACAGTTGTCATTTATTTTTGTGTTGATCCATACATGTTTCAGCTTAGCTTAGCATAAACACAGGAAACAGCGAGCTTGGCTCTGACCACCACCACTGAATCTCATAAATGAATGTGTTATTTCTTTTTTCTCTACCATCAACCACCCATATTTATGTCTAAGGGTGGACTTGTATCTTTGTTTTTTTAGGGTTGATACCAATACTGATTATTAGCAATCGATTAGACAATAACTGGTATTTAGATTTGATTTACAGAAAATTTTAAATCTTTGTGTCAAAATTTTACATAACACAAACTCCCGTCAACTTTTGTTGAAATGCCTTTTGAACTGATGTTTGATGAAAAGATAGCATTTCAACATTTTTTCTTCAGCGCTAACAGGCTGTTACTCATAATGTGTAACAAATCAGACAACGCTTTGTGGCTGCATCAGAAGCAAAGCAACACATTTTAAGAGTATTTATGTTATCAGGAATTTGTTTTAAATATTAGTAGTAATCAGCAAAATGCTGAATATGTGATCGGCCGGGTCTATATTTGGTTGACCTCTACTTAGGTCACATGATCATAACTCAGCTGTTCTCTTCTGGAAAAGGTAAGTAGGCAGATGTTGTGATAGAAATTTCCCCAAAAAAGATGTGTAACTTCAGGACTTGATATTTCTGCTCCTAAACCAAAGACTGGATGCCTGGACTATAGAAAACCTTTATGACCTTTGTTGACATTTTACAGCAAAAGATGTTCAGAAACTAACAGAAATGAGTTTCTTCACCTCTGTACCACTCAGGATAGAAGAGAGTTAAGGAAGGTCTGAGCAGAAGCCCTATAGGGTTGTATTGTCATTGGCTATCAGCTAAGGACAATGTCTAACTCACACACCTACTGACCTTTGTGGTTGTCTGTTGTAGACAAAATGTGTTTTTTCTTCCCCTCTAAAGTAAACTCACTCAGCTCATTCATTCATCCATCTGTAGATGCTGAGCTAAACTTACAGAAAGTTATTGTAACAGAAATTGCCACCATAACATGAGGTATAATTGTTTTTTTTTGTGAAACTACAGTTTCAAAGGTTTATCATTTTTTCAACAAATCTTTCCCTTTCATATCAATTTCACATCAAACATCCTCAGTTTGAGTTGAAAGTGATAATCCACTTGTGTCTCACTAAAGGACCAGCATCACCATCACACATCTGTCTTACCGTAGACAGTGAGGTTTACTGTGTTCTCTCGGTTCCCTGCGGGGAATGTGGTGTATTCACAGATGTAGGTGGACTCGTCGGCGAGGCGGAGCGAGGAGAAGGTGATGGTGGTGTCTTCAAGAGTCGGAGTCCGCCGCCTCACTGCTGCGTTCTTGAAGGTGACGCGGTCCCTGTAGGGCGGCGCCACGGACACACCCAGGGACGGATTTGCGATTGCCACGTTCTGCTTAGTGCCGTTTACCAGTTTCTGCCATGTTACCTTGTTAAAGAAGGACAGGGAAAAGAGTCGATGAGGGGGAAAGGAAGTGTGCAGTACAGCTCACGTGTGGCAGGTCTTGGATCAGCGACAGACACCTGAATCACCAAACTAACAAGATGAAACATGAGTGCGATACAGGGCGTAAAAACTCAGTCAAGCCATGGATGTAATTATACCGTTATGCCAAATAATACTGATCCCACTAAATACACAGCGCTGTGTTTATATTTGATATCATGAATAACTAAAGTAAACCACAGCAAGCTTTCAAAGACAACCACAAGTTTTTAGATTGACTTCCGACCCCACTGACAACCCACACCCTCTACAACTCTATGAGACGGATAAAAAGCAACTTGCAAAGACTTGTAGTGATACATTATTAAGTGCTGAAGCATTTTCTGACTATATTTTTCTGGCCAGGAAGACAAGATATAAGTCTAAAAACTGTTGCTGTATTGCATTTACACATTTGTATTATAAATCATATGTGATATGAAGGCAACTGTAAACATCTGAAACTCATGACTGAAATTGATTTTAGGTACATAACTTGTCCTCCCAATTCTGCACATCTTAAAACAGGAACCTTTCTGTGCATTCTTGTGTGTGAAGTTTATCCGATATTTGTTTCCTAAGGCACATCTGATGTAAACTCTATAAGATGTGCTTCTTCTAAAGAAGCAAAGATTTGCATTTATGATAAAGGCTTCTCAAAGGTTGTATCTGGGGTCAGTGTTGCTGTTGGAAACAGTCTCATGAGACAGGTAAAAATAGCTTATACACCGAAGAGGCTCTTCAGATGCAAAACATGATCAACCTGCTGCATATTCAAAAGGTGACAAAGTGAGAAAAAAAAAAAAAAAAAAACACATCTCAGCACTGGACCATCTGAGGAAAGCTCCACTCTTGGGTATGGCATAAACTGATTGTTTTTTGAAGAACATATGGCCACAGTTTGCTTACATCCGTAGCAATGCAGATTTATTTCACTGCTTTAGGTCTTTCTTACGCATGTTCATGGGTATGTTCAAAAGTACGAAAAAGTGAAAGCATGGACAAGAAATCAGTAAAACGAATCAAAAAATGTAACAAATCTTCATTTAAAGTCTCTTAAGTGTTATATAGAGAGTTTCCTTTCAGCAGTTGTTCACAAAGCTCCAGTCAGATAACTGGATGCATTTCATTTGGTTTTATAATTCTGACAGATGTTTGAGACATTCCAAGCTTACCAAACTGATATCAGTGGTGCTGAGGTGGGCAAACCGTCGCATCCAGCGCTACTGGATTATTTTAGTTTGTCGGTGAGTCGGCTAAACCTTTATAAACGCCTTACCATGAGAATATATTGCTTTCAATAGTGCACCATTGTCTACATTTGCAAATCCCTGCACGAATACAAGAATCACCTGCAAAATTTGGCTGATTTGACATGAATCCTCTGGACTAAATCTACCTTTAAGTGCTGAATTATCTTGTAAAGTTCTCTCCTAAAACCTTATTTTTTGGAATTTCTCCAAACTTAGCCAGTTAGGAGCCAGTTAGAATCCTTAGGATGTTTTATGAGTATGGCTCTACAGTTCTTCTGCAAAGCCAGAGCTGTGTTCACTGGGTTTTTCCTAATGTCTTAACCTAATTAAATAAACTGGCTTCATCATAGAATGTTTAAGAATCTCTACAAGCTCTGTTTAAGTTCCAGAGGTTCTGCAGAAAATAATCATCAGTTATTTCATCAGTTTTTGTGCAGATTAATGTTGAATTTGGAGGCTACGCTTTAGATGTGATTTGTGTTACTTGCTTGTGTGATTTATTACAATGTTTTAGTCTGTATCCATTTGGTGTAATCTATATTTTTAAGTGGGCAACTTCTGGACATACCTGGGAGATTTTGACAGGCGGGAAGCTGTTGATGAACCGACACCGGAGATCCACCTTTGAGCCAACATACCCCGACTTCCCATCATCCATTTCCACAGTCTGTCCATTTATTCCTGGAGTAGAAACACAGGCGTTAATAAAAACCCCTATTACCGTCGACGTCACAGACAAACCCACACGTGCTGCCAGCTTCAGGGTGGCACGCTTTAAGTTGTTCACAGTCAACACGGCACGTTGAGCTTACAAAGTGAGCCGAGCTGTCAGAGGCGATACATTTTAGCAGCGTGAGAGGTGCGCCAGGGTCAAAGGTTGTGGATTAGAGAGGGGTATAAATAAGCACGATTTGTTTGGTTCCTGCTCCCACTGACTTACTGATCCCCTTTAACAAATCCACAGCAGAGCTACACCCACTTCACCAGTCACGTGTTTTTACTTGTGTCTCTCAGACATGTTGTAAGTAACATTATATTTAATCCGGAAGGTTCGTGAAGAACAAAACGATTATCGTTCGTGATGCAGGATAGAAAACAAAGACGGCTCACTTAACAAAACAGCTCAGAACAAAAGCTGCTCTGATTCTCACATACGTGGTTACACAGTGTGGGCACACACACACACACAAACTCAGTCATCAGCCGTCTTTAATTATAAAACATTAATGGCTTAGTTTTTTTTTGTAATTATTATTTATATCACAACCAACTTTGAATAGAGAAATTGAGTTTTTGTTACAGTTAATTCATTTCAGATTAATTACCTAACTTAGCTGCCAGTAGCCAAACAGTATAAGAGAGACGAGGACTCAACAATTATGACTGATATATCTAACTGCAAGTTTTCCGACAGATGTTGCAATTTGATTTAATTTTTCTAAAGTCAAGCTTGAGTTCAGTGTTTACTGTGCAATAGATATCCAACATGTGATGGAGCTCTAATACTTAAGATACCATCAAAAGCGTAACACAAGGAGGACAGCATGAAATCATAAACCCTGAATCAGACACGTTGCGTGACAAATATCCTAAATTTGACTCTTTGTGATCTGATAATCAAATTGCTATTTTAATTCCAAATCCATGAATTGTTCAGCATTAGTGTAGACTTGTCAACTGCTGCCAATTTTCATTGTGAAGTATGTAAGAATAATATTTCTACCATATGTATTTGAAATGGATTTGGGAGATTTTTTGTGGGTGCACACATACGATAAATAAATAAATAATGAATTTCACATCAAAACATTGGCTCACTACCATAATGTCATGTGTATGTGACAAAGCAAAATATTTGTTATCATAATGTTATATGGAAACGGACTTTTCTGACATTAGTGAAAAGTATGCCATGTGATTAGTCAGAAAATTCTAATAAAATATAATTTACCTCAACAAACTTTACATCCGTTGTAACTATCTCAAACATCTACAACACAAACCAGGCAAGGCAAAATTTACAATGAGTGAATAAGACAGTCTGAATGTAATCTTTACAAAGTGGTGATGTATTTAAAACTAGAATTACTGCTTTGTTGTTGTATGTCTCCAACAACCAATCCAATCCAAACCTCTGATAACAGTGAAGACATTTAAGGAATTAAATAAAAGACTGAATAATGTCCAGTGAGAAGCATCCTGTCTCCTCTTAGAGACTATAGAAGGTGCTGGAAAAAAAGCTACAAATTCGAAAAATGTGGACGCTGAAGATCTATGCGGTCAACCCAGTTTTAGGTGGGGACCCAAGATTAATGTCCCTAATTCAGTACTGAAAACGCACAGGAAAGTGTTTTTATAAAGTCAAAGTGAAGCTGACCTTTGACCTCTGGATATAAAAAAATCAATGCTTCACCATTTTACGCTGTGAAAACATTTTTGTGAAACATTGCCATAATGAACCTATGAATTCTTGAGTTATGGCCAAATTCATGTTTTGTGAGGTCACACTGATCTTTGGCCCCCAAATTATAATCAGTTCATCTTTATGTGCAAGTGAATATTTAA